TAACCCGGGCGACATCTGAGCTAGTATCACACTTTCATCTGGTTACTACTATGATAATTATCTGCACAGAATGTGGGTGTGGTCACTCTTAGCTTCATTTCTCCCTATAGACCTTACTGGCATGGGTGTTCCTACTAGGAGCTTGTGCTCCAGCCTGCATTGCTCCATGGTTCAGTAAAATTACTGGTCTCTCCCACCACAACCAGGTGGTGACCACGGGAGAGTTATTTATTATTATTATTGTTATTATTATTAAGTTTGCAAATAAATTTATAATTTTAAGTAATTTCATTGAACTGTTATTTTTTAATCATACATTAATGAAAATAATAATTAAAATTTTAAATTCTTTTATCAGGAAGAAATTTTCTACAAAAATGCAGGAGGACAGGATTGTCTAAAAATAAAAAAACATGTTTTAATGATATGAAACAATTAAAACTAAGTGAAAGTTTTGAGAGATTTAAATTTCAAAAGTAGGTATTTTATTTTCATCTAATTTATTCAACATTTTGTCCAGCTAAAAAATCATTAGACTGGAAAGTATCAATACTTTGTTCAATAAATATAATAATCTATGTTCTATAGATATATGCTAAAAGACCAGACATTATTTTTTTTTTCTTTCCCAACTGTTGCAGATTATAATGTAGGGAAAGTATGGTAATCAGTCAAATTTTAATTCCATGTTTTCTTTTTGCATTTAGGAGTGTCACAATGACACTCCTAAAAATGTAAAAAAAAAACCCTTACAAAATTGTTTGTTTGTGTTTGTTTTTTGTTTGTTTGTGTGTGTAAGCATCTGTTTTGCATTATATCTCAGGACCTGGATGAACCAAAAATTTCGAAACTTGGTAGGTTTATTTCTATATGTGAGGCATTGATGCATTGATGATGGTGAAGTAGGAACTAGAGGAAAGTCATGTGTCATATTGCAAATGGAGTCTGACTAACCTAACCTTGCACCATTAACAAAAATTTACGATTACCAAGTAGAAATGTCGATTGTATAACTCCAGCAACTTGTCTACCTGTTTGTCCAAATATCGGTGAATGTCAACGGGTTTTTGTTGCTTGGAGACACGTCTCTCAGGTGAGAAATTACCTAGTGTGTCATGGCCTTAATGTTGCATATGGTAGTAATAGTTGGAGACTGATATTGCTTAACCTAATATTTTTGGATGGGCTACTCATTGATCAATCAGTAATATAATTTTTGTATTTTGTGTCTAATGAGCTCAAATAATTTTTAAAAAGTGCAAGTCATCCAAACAATGTTATTGCTTGTATACTTCCATGAAAAACTACATTTTTGAAACTTCTAGATTTTGCCAACCTTCCTATGAGCAGTAAAGGGAGCTTTTTGGACCTATTCGTGTTTCACTTATAAAGATGACGACATATTCATTGTCTTGTTTGATATCATTTTATTTCTCCTTTTGGAACGGAGCATCTTCAGGCAGGAAGTTGTGGAAGATTGTACACATTAACATTGAAAATCTCTGTTTATAACCATCAAAAAGAGTTGGCAAAATTGCTTATCTCCACTGTTCAATGCTATCAACACTTGCACTTTCACCTGTTATAACCTTGTAGTTGACAATCTTTTTTTTAAATAATCTATCCATTGCTAATTCCTTTGATCAAAGATTGCATAAGGTGCCTGTAAAGCATATTCGTAAGATTAACAAGGGTGGAATTGCTGTTGATTTTCCTATCAGAGAAGAGGCTGAATACTTTCAGGAACAATTAGACAAAATAGAAGGATTAAAGGCACGAAACGCAAGACGGCATCTTCCTCTTATGAAAGTGACTTCAGTCCCGAACTCAGTTACCAAAGAGGACCTACTAGAATACCTGATTTTTTACAGAAGTACACGATGGAGGAGTTTAAAAAGGTTTTAAACATTCGATTTTCAATCAAACAGAGAAATGACGAGTTTTTATCGTGGGTATTAGAGATGTCACCGGAGATTAGGGCAATGACTAAAAAACAAGGATATTTTTATGTTCAGTGGAAAACGTGCAAGGTTTATGATTTTTTCCCTGTACGACAGTGCTACAAATGTCTTGCTTTTGGACATTTGGCGGCAAGTTGCCCATCACCGAAGAAAGTTTGTAGCCATTGTGGTGATGATCATTTGTTTAAGACATGTACAAAGAAAAGTGAAAAGCCTAAATGTGCTAATTGTTTGAGGAGTGGCCTAGATAAACATGAACATAACACACTGGATAAGGAGTGTCCACTCTACATTAAAGCAAAAGCCTTATATATTAAGACAGCTGACTACTTACCTTAATAATTATGGAATCTTTTACAGGACACAAATTGTTTAATTCATAGTGCTACCTCTGCTCCTTAGCACAACAACTAATACAAGCAGATCATCACTTCTCTATATACATTTGTGTTTGCTGACTGTAAGAATTATGTAAGCTTCTTCATTTTTCTCTGTTTTTGGGTTTAAAGTGTTGGAATTGATACTTACAATTATTAGCTGTGTGGACTTTTCTTTTTTTTTGCTTGTACGCATATTATATATGGACTCATGGGATTCTCAAATCTTTGTCTTACAAATTTTCTGCACGGGATAAATTCTGTTAAACACTTTGTCAGAATTATTGTATTTACTGCAACCTTCATTTGTGAAAATATTCCTGCAGATAAGTAATCTGTTATATGCTGCAGCAAGCTGCTGCATATTTTGTTCGGGTCTTCTTTTGTCATTGTGTTTTTATTTTTATTTATTTATTTATTTTTAAATTTTTCTTTTCACTTTGCTTTGTTCATTAGTGCATACTGTAACTCGGTGGAACTATGTAACGGTTATGTTACTGTAATGCTCACTGCGGGGCAGGACTTTGTACCTTGTTTTAAATGTACAATTAAACTAATGAATGAATGAATGAATGAATAATCTATCCATTTGATTTCTAACCATCAAATGGATGGCCATTTGATGGTTAGAAATCAAAATTAACTTGTAAGTTTGCTGCAATCAATTTTCAGCTTGAGAACCAAACATGACATCATTAATATGGGAATATATCTGAAGTTTTGTTCAATTTCTTCATATTTTGCAATTTTTAGTCACTTTTTACTTTCATTTCAAAAAAATGTCCTCCAGGCATGTGACAATGGTGCCACATATTTACTGTTAATTGCAGTCTTTTTAGGTGTCTGAGTTAATTTTACATTGTATATACAGTTATTGCAGTAATTATTTTTTATAATCAATTAATCTATTTATGAATTATATTCAATTTTAATGTTTTTACAGAATTTTTAATTTTACTGTATTTAATACATTCCATATAAAGTAATGAATATTTACTGAAATTTTAACAAAACAGAAAGTTCTATTTGCTTTATATGCTTTCATAATTTTTTCTTAATATAGCTAATCTAATGAAGATATGTCCTTTCTGTAATATTAATATAATTTTAATAGTAAATTTTATATGTGTATGTATGTGTGAATTATTTTTTATAACTCTAAAATGATTAGTAGTAATTCTCATTTTCTATGTTAAAATTTCACTGTCAAGAAGAATATAATGTATCTTTTAATGTTTTACTTATTCCCCTGAATGTTCTGGAACATGCTACTGTAAAATGAAATAAATACAGTGGTGCCTTGTACTTTAAATTTAATTCATTCCAGGAAGCCATTCAAATTCCAAATTATTTGAAGTCTGAAGCAATTTTTTCCATTAGAAATAATGATAAGTGAATTAATCCTTTTCTTGACCCTAAACAATATTCGTTTCTAGTGTTGCCACCTTTTGAAAATTGCTGACCCAGATGGCAGGTCAGGTTTGTTCAAATAGAAGTTCCTGACGCATGCACAATGTCATTTTACAATGCGAAGAATAACGTGTATGACGGTTCTAAATCAGTTACAGTTAGGGACTAGGAACTTGTGTAGGAGTAACTTAAATTAAGAAAGAACAGGTACAGATGACTTAGCTCTATTGGATATTGGAGAGATGAGATAAGAGATATCCAATATTTTTTTTTTGTTTTTTGAATGTACAATCGTATAATTGTACATGCAAAACACAAAAAAAAAGGTCAACAGGTTGTGCACCACACATTGGTATAAACAGACTAACTAACATGGCAGAATTGCAGATGAGTTTCAGTAAGTGCAAGTTCTTTCGCTGTTAAAATAGTGTAAATTTGTAAAAATATTTGCAAGAACTTTGTTTCATTGTAATTTCACAATTTCTACGAAATTCCCAGACAAAATTAACAGTTCACCTGGACAGTGAGTCAGTTCCCAGACTATCCGGGTGAAAACCAGACGGGTGGTAACACCACGCGTTTCAATAAAGTTAAAACAGCAAATACACGCAATTTAAGGTTAAAACAAACACAGTTAAATACTTTAATAGTAAATTAAAACACAAGAACAATAAATAAGATATGTGAATACTGTATAAAAAAATGAAAATTGCATTTACTGGTCACACACCATTGACTTCAACATCTTAAACATGACTGTCAGATCTGCCACAAGTGTATCATATTCATGTTTTGTGATAAGTTCATCTGAATCGTCAATATTAGTCCTCCTCTTACTTGTTGAACTTCCTTGCTTCCATACACATTTCAGATGCCACCACTAATAATTAAAAGTGTGAATAGAAAGTTTTTGCATATTTTACCAGCTATGGTTACTTAACATAGATGTTTGATTTAATTATAACAGTTGTGAAATTTAACACATTTGTTGATTTGAGATTGTATTCTTTGTTAAGAAGCTTATTTTGCACTTGGGGTGCATTTTTCACTGCATGTGCAGTTCAAACTCCAAAGCAAATTTTTTTCAAATTTAGCATCTGAACATTTAGAATCTTTAGGCATTGGAAGTTGTCGTTTGAAGTATGAGGTATCACTGTATTTAGTGTTGTAATGAAATAAGTAAGAGTGTGTTTGTGTAGATGTATCTATATATATGTATGTATGTATGTAATACTTTTCTTCTTCTTTTCAGATCTAAATTGCTGATTAGGCATGATCCAGTACAAATAGACTTGACAATGGACACTATTGAAGAGAGTGAAAATTTAAAATAAATCAGCCTTTAATTTATATTTTAAAATTTGAGAGATAAATTGTACATAAATATTTATATTCTTTTTATACTGTGATTTGTTAATGGTTTATTTGAATAAATGAAAGAAATACTTGTTGTAAAAGTTTTAATTTCGTAAAAATGCTCAGTTTCAATATTCACCAACCCTAAATCTCAGCACAATTTATTATTATCAGCACAAAAGCTACAGCATGTAGATTTAATAAATTATTCTGGAATTTAAGGTTGATGAAAATTATTTTTAACCAAATCCATTGGAAAGTTCATTTTCTGCTTAATGTGATATACTGTACATATTGTATCATTTTTATCTAGAATTTTTATTGTTAATATGAAATTAAACTTTAATATGTGCTGAAATTATATTAAATTATGGGTTAATAATTGGAATACTTTGATTCTACACTACAGATATATGGATAGATACACTATATTAATGATAAATTTGCAAGTTTGCATTTTGTAAATATTATTTCATTTCTAACATGTTATATTTTACAATCCAACAATACTGATTTCTGAAAGAGAACATGTTTTCCTTGTGTAATGGTTTTTGACAAAATGAGAATAAAGCACAAAAATTTTATTTTGATGTATAACTGCATATTTTTGTATTGTTACAGTTGTTAATGTGAAGATTTTTATAAGCAGTTCGGTTTAAGAGACTTTCTTATTCAGTTCATTGACTGAGTTTCATTTCTTCATTGGTTCAGAAACCAAAAGGAAAAAATATAACTAAGAATATTCAACCCCCTATCATATATGCAGATTGTTTTTCTCCTTTTTTCTTCTACATTCAGCAATAATCAGATAGCATCTTTACATTTCATGTTCTATAATATTTTCTCTCCACTTCTCTAACATTTTAATGAAATCTTTACTTTCTGAAAACTTTTATAGCAAGAAGTGAGAAACAGAAGGAATCTAGATATGATCATTAAAGTGTGATTTTGCCAATCTTTGTCAATGCCCCAATAAGGACAGTCTATTTGCATTCATTGCTGTTACAGCTAAGAAAGGACCAGCCATTTTTCTCTGAAAGCATGCCATGTGAAGAAACAAAAGCGATGTCATTTGTCACATAAAGTGTTACCACCCATCCGATTTTCACCCGGACAGTCCGGGAATTGACTCACTGTCCAGGTGAACTATTAATTTTGTCTGGGAATTTTGTAGAAATTGTGAAATTACAATGAAACAAAGTTCTTGCAAATATTTTAACAAATTTACACTAACTTAACAGCGAAAGATCTCGCACTCACTGAAACTCATCTGCAATTCTGCCATGTTAGTCAGTCTGTTTATGCCAACGTGTGATGTACAACCTGTCTGTCAACTTTTTTTTGTTTTTTGCATGTACAATTGTATGATTGTACATGCAAAAAACAAAAAAAAAGATATTGGAGAGACTCGTATGATTGTACACGTCTCTCCAATATCCAATAGAGCTAAGTCATCTGTACCTGTTCTTTCTTAATTTAAGTTACTCCTACACAAGTTCCTAGTCCCTAACTGTAACTGATTTATAACTACCATGCATGTTATTCTTTGCAGTGTAAAATGACATTGCGTATGAGTCAGGAACATCTGTTCGAACAAACTTGATCTGCCGTCTGGGTCAGCAATTTTCAAAAGGTGGCAACACTAGTCATATATCAACTGTGCTTTTGGTACATTACATATTCTGCATGGCAACTAATTCATCCTTGTTGTTAAATAAAGATTAAAACAATGGGATTGGTGATATTTCTAAAAAAAATTTTTGTAAATTCTAAAAATAAAATTATTCTGATTAAAAGTACAAGTAAAAACTACTCTTTTATAACCAATTTCGAGCAATTTATACTAGCGAGCAAATGATTAACAGAAAGATACTATACTTCAACTAAAATGTTGTTGTTTATTAGATTCAAAGCTTCCAAATGCATTTCACTATTACAGCCGCATTTGTGGACAACTGGACCACAACCAACCCGTTCACTTTATACTGATAATTCTTTCCTAGCATGCATCCACGTTCATATCGACATTCCCGTTCATTCTTTTATTCATCAGTGTGCTGAGCAGTTGCTGCCGGAAATGATGTTTTTGCTGCTGACAGTTGAAAGCTCTTTCTCCAGCAAAAGTGTTATCTCAAAATGGCTGATATAAACAATAATTTTCTTTTTCCTATATTTACACGCATTTCTTCAATATTATTAGAAGAAAAGCCATTAAGTTCGATGTTGTTAATAAGAAAACGAGGAAATGATGATTTATTTATGGCATTGGCGATGACTGATTCCCAAAAACGAAGAAAGCGTACAAAAATCGTTCACGATATCGTACCGCAATATTCGAATGAAATCTTTAAAAGCCGTTTTCGTATGTCACGATTAAAAATCTGCTCACTTAAAACAGCAAAACACATTATTAGTTGGTAGACGAAAAAGATACTTTTTCACGGAGGCGTCCATCTTGTAAGCAATATTTTTAGCGTGGTCGAGAGGTGCTGTAGTGCGCTATAAGCGCGCTGACAGTAGGCTTAATAATTGAACACATGCGCTAAAAGTGTTGCAAGCGCGCCGAATAAAAGAATGCGCGGTCTGGTTTATCAAATTTACATATTCAGCAATACAAAAATGTTTTTATTACCCTTCTTTTAAAACAGTTTTCTACTTTATATAATATTTTTACATTATTCCTGTTGATTTTACAATGATAATTACTACATTTTGAGTAGCAAGATGACTCCTGTCTTTTTAGGTGAATCGCAGCCTCGTGTTCTTTTAGGCGTGTCTCAAGCTTTCTTCCAGTCTCTCTAACGTAGAACTTCGCTTGTAAACAAGTACTGTACATGAGAGTTTATAAACAGGAGTTATCTTGGTACCCACACTGTAGTAATATGTAAATTTGATAAACCAGAATGTCGGTATGAACGTGGATGAATGCTGGGAAAGAATTTAATTAATTAATTAAACTTAAAAAACATCAAATTTGACGCGGGAATGATTTATTTTCTTTCTATTCGTAACTTTTCCATCATCATATGAAGTTTTATGACAGATAATACGTCCAATAAAATTATTTATTTAAGTTGTTATTATTTTTTACCCATCATTCAGCATTTTTATGGCAAGAATTGAAAATTTAAAAATATTCGACTTCTGGATTCATCTGAAGATACATACTAGAGTTATGTCATTTATTTGAATGTCTATTCGGTACAATAATACATATTTCAAAGGACAATAAAGAAATGCTCATAAAACACACATGAATTATGTCTATTAAACCAATAGCAATAAACGAATATTCCAATTCATGAAAGAAGACAAAATATAAGAAAAAAAAAAGCATTTTATAAAACTTGACATTTCGATCCTACATTTTTATTCGCATAGTTCATAACTCAGGACCTGGATGAACCAAAAATTTCGAAACTTGGTAGATTTATTTGTATATGTAAGGCATTAAAACCGTGGGTTAATGCTATTAAATTTTAATAGTTAAAGGTGAAGAAGTGGGAACTAGAGGAAAGTCATGTATCATATTGCAAATGGAGTCTGACTAACCTAACCTTGCGCCATTAACAAAAATTTATGATTAGGCTACCAAGTAGAAAGGTCGATCGTATGACCAATGTTCCCTCTAATTCTTTTTGTAGCTGAGCGGAACATGTACTTCTCTGTGCAAAAAATAATTTTGCTGAGCAGATTCTGAGCAAAAACAATTTTCTGAGCATATATATATATATAAATTAAAATAATTAATTATAAAGTAGAGATTAAAATTCATTTTAAAACATATTTCCATACAAAATATTATCTTTTGTCAATGATTTAATGTATTTAATCGAAAAATACGTAGCAATAATCATATTGCAGACAGAGTGAGAAATAAGTAAACAACAATTCAAATCGGTGTGGATGCTCGCCTGCGCGGCAACAATTTGAGCAGTGCGCAGCCGCGCAGCTTAGAGGGAACATTGCGTATGACTCCAACAACTTGTCTCCTTGTTTGTCCAAATGCTGGCAAAAAATGATTTCCCAAATTTTTATATTTCTTGATTCAGGACACATTGAAACGTCGAGAAATGCAAAAAATTCGGGGGGTAATTTCTGTATGTGTGGATGTCAGTGTGTGGCACGATTTTGTTCACTCTTTTTGAAGCTTAATAACTGCTATGCTTTTTGTCGAAAATTTCTGAAATTTTGCAAGGAGGTTTGTTTATTAGGAAAATGATGCTATTAAATTTTGGTAGTTAAAGATCGAAGAGGTCAGGAGATAATGGGGGTCATATCCAGTATGGTCGAACTTAATGACGATTTTACTCGTTATTAGCATTTACAATTTTTTTATAAAACTCATTCCTACCTTCAAAATTAAGATTTTTTCCATTTTATAATAGTTAAAAATATAAAAAGTTTTTTAATAAAATATGTTAATATTGCGCCACCAAAATTTTAAATGTTGCCGGAAAGTTAAGCAAATCGTTGTAGTTTATTTTCTTCGATAATATTATTCTTCGATTCTTCGATGTATTTTTTAAAATTGAGTTTTTTCTAATTTAAATTTATAGCCTGAAGAGGAATTGGAAAATTACCAATCCTAAATTCGTTGTTAAATAGGCGAAATTAAGTGAACTGTTTTAATCTTGGTCTCTGTTATTTGCGGATAATTAAAAAGGACTTGATAAATATCATTAGTCTCACTATTAGAAGAAGAAACCTTTACTCATAAATTATTATGATAACAATCATTACATCATCATATGACAATATTGTTAACTTACAAGCTCTGAAAAATGCTCCGTTCAAAATTATTTTGGTTATTCTTTGTTTTATTTTCTAAAATTTTATTTCTTTCATGTGGTTTCGAAGAAGGAAAACCAAGAAACATCATAAAAAGTATTAAATTTATATAATTTAAATTAAGAAATTCAAATATTTTAAAATTATGCAAAAACAATGAATTGTATTTTGTATATTTTAAGATTTTTTTAAAAGATATATTTCAACGAGAGGAAAATGAGTCCTGCAATTTCTTCTGTCAATGTAGGAATTCGAAATTGAAGAAAAGCGACCACTTACGATTAAATATTTTTAAAAAATATTGAAAAGACAACCAACTACTTTAGAAATATCACTTACGAATTTTGGAAAGAAATCGCCTGTATTTTTGAACAGGAGAAATCTCTAAATTTAGTAGTAGTCATTCTTAATCTTGCATCTAACATTTTCGACTGGTGTTAACAAATCAAATTTACTACTGTACTACATTAGTTG